TCCCCAATTCACTCTTCTCCTTAAACAGTAAAAGAAAAACTCTTTCATTGTTATGCAATCCCACCCCTCCACCCCCAAGTCCATTCTACTGTGCAGCTAATTATTGTTGTAAGTCCAGAATGTTTACTATTTTTTTAAACCAGTGCCTGTATTATTAGCAAATGACATTGTGATGATACTTTTGTTACAATTAATGAATCATGACTCACATTATTAAAAAAAGTCCTTACACTTAGTTCAGGTTTTCTTAGTTTATGTCAACTGTCCTTTTATTGTTGTAGGATTCTGTTCAGGATTTCTCATTTACAGTGAGCTGTCCTGTCCCTGTAACTCCTCTTGGAAGACTTTTCGTTGCTTTTAGTGACCTTGACAGAAGCATTATAGATTAGACATTTTTTTCTTTAATAAAACATGTTTACTATTAAGACAACATATCTGCACTAGGTAAAGAAGAAACATCAACTGTTAACAAATTTTACTTTACGTTAACTACTAGTATTAACAGAATTAAATTTACTTACAAATTGTTGTGGTTGTTGTTATGTGCCGTCGAGTTGCTTGCAACTTATAGTGACCCTATGTACAATAGCCCTAAAAACTCTGCTCTGTCCTGTGCCAATCTCACTGTCTCCGATACACCCATCCTGATTACCGCAGTCACTGATTCAATCCGGTACTGTCCCTCCACCCTCCCAAACATGACATCCCTCTCCAAGGACTGGTCCCTCCTTGCAACATGTCCAAAGTATGTCAGACGAAGCCCCAGAATCCTTGCCTCCAAGGAGCAGTCTGGTTTAACCCTCTCTAGGATGAACCTGTTTGTATTCTTAGCAGTCCATGGTAAATTCAGTACTCTTCTTCAACACCACAGCTCAAAGGCATCAGTTCTCCTTTTATCCTCCCTAGTCATTGTCCAACTCTGTGACGCATAACAAGTGATTGCAAAGACCATGGCCTGTATCAGGTGCACCATAGTCTCCAGAGTGATACCATTGCTCTTCAGTACTTTGGCGATATAAATTACAAAATTTAAATTTATTTACAGTCTTATCCTACAACATCATATCTTACCAACAACAAGCAAGCATTTTCGCCCAGCCCTGGCCGAGGACTTGGAATGGCATGCTTTAAGTGTCAGGATTTAAAGAGCTTTGTGACACTGGCTCAAAGCCACACGGCTATGGTGTGGAGTCTCTGCCAGCCACTTCTTAGCTGTCCTGCCTGAGAAAGTTTACCGTTACCACCTTGAATTGTAGCCAGCTAATTACCCTAAAAACCCGATAGTGACGAATAAAATTCTTTCAGGTTTGTGTAACCATTTTCATGGATTTCAATCTGACTGGGGCTATAGGATTAGAAATGAGTAGAAAGTGTAAATTCGTAGTAGAAGGTATGAGACATTCATGAAATATGGTGGAACATTGTGGAGGGCATGTCTGAGCTCTGGACCGTGGGGCAAAGATGAGGTCCGGAGACCATGAGACAGAGCTGACCTGGGGCTGCTGTTGCAGGATGTGTCTTCTCTTTTCTAGGGACACCATCCATGGGAGACGGAGATTGCTGAAGAGGAGGGAGAACTTTTCAAGTCAAGATAAAGACCGAGCATTCCAGAGGCTGGGAACATCCCAAGAACATAGGAAGATGGTGAAGGATCAGGTGACTTTTGCTTTGTGTTATGTCCATTTTGTGCCCTGATGGATAGTCCTGGTAGAGGCGTTAAAACAGACATCATCTGGAACGTAGAAGCTAGAGACACAACTGAGTGGTCAGGAGTTGTGCTTCTAACAGAAAGGCAAACATTTTATCTCCGCCAGAAAGTGACTTCACAAGAAAAGTGAGTCATCTCTTCCCAGGTCATTTCCAGTCTCTGACAGCCCGGAGGAGGGTGTTATAATTCTGACTAGATGGCAAAAGTGATATGTGAAGGAAGCATATGGAAGTAGCCCCACCACCCCCAAGCTTGAGAAACTTGATAACCTCTAAGGCGGTCAAATCAAAGGCCAGACCAGATAAAAGATCCTGATAAAAGTCTGAGCTTGGAAAAAAGGTGCTAAAACCTAACTTAATTAAAAGAAGAAACTCTGAGAAATACCATCTTAGTCCTCCCCAGGACCCCTATAAAAAGGAAACCTCCCCCCCCCCCAAACTGCCTGTGTGCCATTTGGATCCTGTCCACATGCCGTGGTCACTTGGTTGGGTCACTTGGCGTCCCTCTCAGACCGCACAATAAAGGCCTGTTCATTTCTTGGGACCAATTCCTTTCTTTATTTCTCTCCCTCATACCCCTCACACTCTTTTTTATCTAACAGTATGAACTTGAGTGAGTGCTAACTTCAGTATCTGTCAGTTGAATATGAGAAATATGTCAGGAGTGAGATTAATGCTAAACTAAGAACACTGTACGTAATATCTGACTCAGGATTGTTAGAACTCCACTGACTTTTATAAAAATGTGTCTGACCCCGTCACCCTTTGCCTAGTCGAAGAGTTCTGTGACACTTTTCCCTTCACAAGGCAGAGAGAGTGCACCCCACAGTCACAGCTCAAGACTGATTTCCTTTGTGGTACATTTTGGATACACCTCTCTCCAGCTTTGTTACCAATTCTGACACCAGCCACCCTTCCCTTGACTCTTTCCTTCTCTGTTGATTCTTAGGGAAAAGAGTTTGAGAGA